ATGATATTGACTCCCAAATTGATCATCCATATTTTAAGTGTTGGTTGATGGTGTTATGGCATAAGTGCTTGATGTTCCAACACTTGACTTTGTTTTGAAGACTTTTCAGATTTGACAGTGCTCGCCTTCATCAACTCCTTTCTTAATTTAAGGCAGGGATCAAAATTAACTACCTTGAGATACTCTTACTGTGTGTTCATCCTAACCTCTGTGGCTTCTCTCTACCAGTTACCATGAGGATGGCCATAATCACCCATCATTTTTTCATACTTAGCTATGCCTGGCTTTCCCAGGATTTAGAAGCAATATTTCAAAAACTTACTAATGATTTTCCATCAGGTCATTAGAATAAAAGTGATTCCTTGTAAATCTTCTAAATAGATGATAGTGTAGAGACATGGTCCCTGGAGATACAAAGTGACCTACTGCAATACACTAAAATTTCTGCTTCTCTGTCAAGATATTCAGATCCTTCTTTACTTCATCTTGGAATAGACGAATAAATAGTGAAAAAATGTACTCTGAAATCCTCTGTCCTGCTTTAGAGCATGTAAATAGCATCATGCACAAAAAATTTTCAAGCTGTCAGGAGTAAAGTATGATAATTTAAGATAATTAAATGCTTAAGACAATCAAAATAGAACTGATCCTAGTAAGCTTTTCTCACTTGAAGGCAACTTCTTTGAAAAAATAGTTACTGATCTAAATGTTTTTTCAATAGGATGGTTAAAAAATTGTGGTATCACAATCCATTGTATGGAATATTTTACAATCTTTAAAAAAGGAGAGAAGCTTATCTATATGAGAAAGATTTATGGTTGTCTTAAAAAAAGAAAAACTGTGAATAATGCATATACTATGATCCCTCTAATATAAAGAATAGCAAGAACAGAGGCAAGAAGAAGGGAGCCTGGAAAGAGACCCACACCAAACTTGCGCTCAGTTCTGCATTGAGAGCTTTTATCTCAGCATCTGCTTCTCCCACAATATTATGAGCTGCTTGCTGCCAGATCAACTACAGGACACCAACTGAATTTGAAGTTTAACTGTAAACAAGAGATATTGTTGTAGTGTATATTACAATATTGCATAGGACAAACTTATAGTAAAAGATGATCCACTGCTTATCTGAAATTCAAGTTGCACTGTGTGTCCTGTATTTTTAACTGCTAAATCCGGAACTCTAAGGAGACCTTCAAGTATTCATCCGTGTATTCCTATCACAACATAGTTACCAAGATAAAGGGGTCACAATAAGCTGCAGGAGAGAGATTAATTAAGGAGAGAACAGTAATACTTGGTGATTTTGCTAAACATGTTACCTACATTTTCTCAATTCTCATGAAAATGTTTTAAAGTTTAATTAGTAGTCCTATTTTACAGATCAAGAAACAAGTACACAGAAGACACCCAGCAAGTAAGCTAAAAATGTTCCTAAATTTCCCGGTCCCTATTCAGAAGCTGTAACCAACTGTCAGCTGCCAGAAGGTACAGGTGGACAACAAGCTATGGGGCACCCGAATCCCATATGGACATCGGTTCATGTCCTGGCTGCTGCTCTTCTGATCCAGCTCTCTGCTATGGCCTGGGAAAGCAGTAGAAGATGGCCCAAGTGCTTGGGCCCCTGCAACCGTGTGGGAGACCTGGAAGAAGCTCCTGGCTCCTGGCTTCAGATCAGCTCAGCTCCAGCCATTGCGGCCTTCTGGGGAGTGAACCAGTGGATGGAAGACCTCTCTCTCTGACTCCCCTCTCTCTGTACCTCTACCTCTCAAATAAATAGATAAAATTAAAAAAAAAAAAGACTACATTTCACTCTCTTTCCCTTTGAGAAATAGACAACCAATTCACTTAAAACAACAACAATAACAAACCTAGAAGGAGGCTTCCATTCTGCTTAAATGAAACATGAATAGGGCTTAACACAAACAAACAAATCTCACCTGGAATGTGAAATACATATGAGAATCAGTCACATTTGGGCCTGGTTCTCACCTCCATCACTCATTCATTTGAACAAGTTATATAATTTATTTTTTCGTCAACTTTCTAGTCTGTGAAACTGGAATGAGAGGACATACCTCCATACATGTGTGAAAAGTATGTGAGGTAGCTTTTGTGAAGTGAGCAGCCCGTGGCTTGGCAAGTAGAAGGCACTCAATCACTGCTGGTTATTCTCGGTTCAAATCCCCAGTGTTTTCATTTGTAAGAGAATAACAAGAAGAAGACAGTAACACTAATGGTACCCATCTTGCCTGTGAACAGTTTTGAGGATCAGATCAGAATATATAAATGCCTTTCCAACTCCTCAAATACATCTCACTTTCCAACCAGGGCAGCTGTTCTTCAGATAGAAGAGGATTTAGTATGGGGCTCAAGCATTACTACAGTTTCCACCCCGCTCCTAGGAGTAACTGATTTTATTTTGTAAACTGTCATACAGGGAAGTTGACTTTCTAGTGTACAAAGTCCTATGAATTTTAACATATGTATAGATTTATATAACCATCCCACAATCAGGTTACAGAACATGACAGCTTTTGAGATTCTTTTTTCCAAGTGCTTCGCATTCATGTTGCCAAACACTTTTAAAAATAAGAAAAAGGGATTTAGATAAATGTGCTAAAGATGCAAATTAATGAAACTGGCTTTTTGCACAAATCTCTGCAGTCTCCAACTCCTCCAGCTTTTTCGGGGCCCTTTTTGCTGTTCTCTCTCTTACACAAGTCATAGAGCCTCGCGAGTTGGGGCTTTCACGCTAAGGACACATTTCACGGGCACAAACTTCAGCACCTGTCGTCTGACCCTTTTTATATATTACTAGATCTGAATTTACCTAATCGTGTTTGCCCTAATTACTACCCCTCCCCGCCCCCCAATGCAGCACCCAGGAATTAATCAGCACCTTCCCGCCCTTTAGGGGAAGTTATCTTATGGGCGCAAAGGGGATGAAAGTTACTAAGAGAGCGCCACTGGCCTTTCAGGGTCCCAAACCTCTGCGGAGTACTAAGGGACGCCTCCTGTGATCCTCCACTCTGCCCCTTCCCTAACGCTGGTCTCCAGCCGCCGGTCGGGCGCCCCTGGGAGGAGGGACTTCGAGACCCTCCGCTGCCCTCCCGGGCCCACCTGCCCAACCCCCACCGCCCCGCGGGTGGGGTCCCCGGGCTTCAGCACCCGCACTGACAGCGCGCGCCTCTTCTCGGAAGGGGGCGGGTCCGCTTTCCGGGTGACTCACGTCGCTGCCGTTTGCCTTTGTGTTTTTCGGATGCTTCGGCTGTCGTTTTCTTCCCTCTGCTTTTAATTTGGGGAGGAGAAAAGCTAATGAATCAAGAATTTATCTACTCTCCACTCATCTTGATTTCTTAAAGTTGACTCTGACTGTCTCTTTCTCTCTCCCTTTCTCTCTCGAGTTCCGCAACGACCTCAGCAGAGCGGGGGCTGCACAGGTGGGAAGGAATTAATTACACCTAACTCTGAAGTTGACAGCCCAAGGCATCACACGTCGGTGCGGAGACTTTCTGAGGCTGGGCGCGAGCTGCCGCCGCCGCCGCCCTAGGTTTTGGGCTCCTTCCTGCCGCGGCTTTGCGCGGCTCTGTCTGCCCCGCTTCATCTACCTCTTCGCTGCCGAAGGTGCCCGAAACGGTGAGTTCCACGAGGCTCAGCAAAGGTTTCGCTCCCCTCCAAGGTAAATACAGTTATGCAAAAATGAGGAACCACCAAAGGGTGCCGGGGAGGGGGGAGAGAAAGGGATTCCCTCACCTATTCCGGCCCATTCTTCCTGAATTTCCACCAGGAGGAGGCGCGCAGCCCGGCTCCCCGGGAGCCCTCGTCCTCAATCCTCCTACCTAGGCTGCCGAGGCCGGCCGCGCAGCCCGAGTCCCCGCGGCAGGCCCGGCCCTCCGCCTCCGCCTCCCCCTCCCCCTGGGTTGGTTCTGCCCAGCTGCGGAGGTTGGGCCAGGGGCTGGGGTGCGAGGCGAGTCGGCGCCCGCAGCGCGGAGCCGGGAAGTCGCCGCCACTCTGCTGGGACGCGGAGTTGGCTCCGAGGCGGCGCGCGCGCACGGAGGTGAGCGGCGGGGAGCGGCCGGCGAGGGGGAGGGCGCGGGGCCAGCGCCGGGCCCCCTCCCCAGTCTAGGGCGGGAGAGCAGCCCAGGTCTTGAGAGCAGCCACCGCGCCCGGGGTCCCAGCGCCGCTTTGTTCGCCGACTCCCTCCTTCCCTTTGGAGAGGACTTAACGCCCCTCTGGGATCCCAGGGGCTGGCGGGGTGCGGCCCGGGAGGGGGGCGACAGCTGCGCTGCCCTCCATTTCCTGCTAATCCAAGGAGGTTCCAAAAGAGATCAAAAGACTCCTGTAACCCGAAACTTGCCTCTCATCCCAACCTGGACGTGGCGGAGAGGTCCAGGCGGGGGCGGAGGCCCCGGAAGGCAGGTGGTCCGCGGAGGCGGGTGGGGAAGAAGCTGCGGGAGTGAGAAGTTTTGGTGGGGAAGGCGCTGGGGATTAAGCGAGAAGTTAGAGGCGGCCGACGAGTGTGGTCGGGAGGGGAGGAGGGCGCGAGGCTGGAAGGGTGTATATAGTGTGGGCCGCGGAGACGGGGACTTGGCGCTCCGGGTCTCGGGACGCGCGTCCCTCTCCCGGGTGAGGAAGTGCAGTGGGGGCTGGAGGGGGCGGGCGGCGGGAGGTCTCGGGGTGGGGGGTGCAGAGTGGAGACGACCTGCCTCGCAGAGCCCGGGTTCCTGCACTCGGGGAGCCGAGGCGACCGCCGCTCCTCACGCTTGCTTCCCGCTTGTCCCAGGTCGCGCCGCGGAGCCAGCGAGAGGCGCCAACAAAAGCGGCGAGGCGGTGCCACCCCGGACCGCGGCAGGTAGAGGAGCCGGAGGAGGAGCGCGAGCCCACCGTCCCGAGCCGCCGTGCGTACTTTCTGGAGGGCAGGGCAGCGCGGGGGACTCGGCCCCGGGAGGGGGGACGCCCGCGGCGCGGGGGTGAGCCAAGTTCCGGCGGCGGCGGCGGCGGCGGCGGCTCTCCTCCGCTCCCACGAGAGGAAAGTTTCTGCAGACGCTTCCGGCCAGCCCGCGCCCTCCGGCCCAGCCTCCCGAGCCTTCGGAGCGGGCGTCGTCCCAGCCCAGCTCCGGGGAGAGCGAGCCGCGATGCCTGGGGCGTGCTCCCGGGGCCCCGCCGCCGGGGACGGGCGGCTGCGGCTCGCGCGCCTGGCGCTGGTCCTCTTGGGCTGGGTCTCCTCGCCCTCTCCCACCTCCTCGGCGTCCTCCTCCACCTCCTCGGCGTCGTCCCTGGCCTCCGAGGTGTCTGCTCAGCCCCCGCTGCCGGGCCAATGCCCCCCGCCCTGCGAGTGCTCCGAGGCGGCGCGCACCGTCAAGTGCGTGAACCGCAACCTGACCGAGGTGCCCGCCGACCTGCCCCCGTACGTGCGCAACCTCTTCCTCACCGGCAACCAGCTGGCGGTGCTGCCCGCGGGCGCCTTCGTCCGCCGGCCACCGCTGGCGGAGCTGGCCGCGCTCAACCTCAGCGGCAGCCGCCTGGAGGAGGTCCGCGCCGGCGCCTTCGAGCACCTGCCCAGCCTGCGCCAGCTCGACCTCAGCCACAACCCGCTGGCCCACCTCAGCCCCTTCGCTTTCTCTGGCAGCAACGCCAGCGTCTCGGCCCCCAGCCCCTTGATGGAACTGATGCTGAACCACATCGTGCCCCCGGCGGAGCAGCGGCAGAACCAGAGCTTGGAGGGCATGGTGGCCGCGGCCCTGCGTGCGGGCCATGCGCTGCGTGGACTCAGTCGCCTGGAGCTGGCCAGCAACCATCTCCTGTACCTGCCCCGGGACTTGCTGGCCTACCTGCCGGGCCTCACACACCTGGACCTGCGTAACAATTCGCTGGTGAGCCTGACCTACGTGTCCTTCCGCAACCTGACGCACCTTGAGAGCCTCCACCTGGAGGACAATGCCCTCAAAGTCCTTCACAACGGCACCCTAGCCGAGTTGCAAGGCCTGGCCCACGTCAGGGTCTTCCTGGACAACAATCCCTGGGTGTGCGACTGCCACATGGCTGACATGGTGGCTTGGCTCAAGGAGACCGAGGTAGTGCAGGGCAAAGCCAGGCTCACCTGTGCGTTCCCAGAAAAACTGAGGAACCGGGTGCTCTTGGAACTCAACAGCTCCGACCTGGACTGTGACCCTATCCTGCCGCCATCCCTGCAGACTTCTTATGTCTTCCTGGGCATTGTTTTGGCCCTAATAGGCGCGATTTTCCTGCTGGTTTTGTATTTGAACCGCAAGGGGATAAAAAAGTGGATGCATAACATCAGGGATGCCTGCAGGGATCACATGGAAGGGTATCATTACAGATACGAAATCAACGCGGACCCCAGGTTAACAAACCTCAGCTCCAACTCGGATGTCTGAACCACGTTAGCGGACAGGTCAAGGACAGCTCTGCATGAGGTGTAGACTTAAGCTTTCTCCCGTCCTAGGCTTGTTCCACTTGCACCCTCCACTGTAGACACCACTGAGTTTGAAAGCAGTGAAGGGGATTTGCTTCCATGTTATGTAAAGTTTCTTGGTGTGTTCTGTTAATGTAACACGATGGACAGCTGTGCATGGTGTTCTACCCTCTTCCTTCTCTGGGAACTTCTTCACCCGCGTGGAGGGATTTTTCAAGTTTCAGCATGAACGTGGACTCCTTGCTGTCTGTCTCTTTCTTAGTGCAGTTCGAGGTGTAGCAAGTGTACCCACACAGATAGCACTCAACAAAAGCTGCCTCAACTTTTTTTGAGAAAATTTCTTTACTCATAAATATCAGTTTTATTCTCCTATGCGTAAGATTATGGAGAAAATAATTGCATCCTATAAACTGCCTGCAGACCCTAGCAAGCTCTTAAAAATAACTCCATAGTGCACAGGAGCACCTGCATCCAAGAGCATGCCTACATTTTACTGTTCTGCATATTACAAAAAGTAACCTGCAACTTCAGATAACTTCTTTGACAAAGTAAATTACTTTTTTGATTGCAGTTTATATGAAACTGAAGTTCTTTTTATAAACTGCATCGAGATCCAAAAGACTGAATTGTTAAGAAAAATCAATAAAGATTCTTAAAAGAATTACAGTGTGTTCAAGTTTGCTGTTTGATAAAAAAGGATGAAGGGCAGTGATACTGAATGGTCTTCATTCAGATGGTGTTATTAGTTAACATAGCTGAGGATCAAACCAAAGCAGTGTCTTATATAAATAGAGTTTGGAGATAGTTTTGAAATGGTGGATCCTTTTAGGATTTAAATAGAGTGTTTGAATATTCATGTGACTAGATTTCTCCTGGTCTCAAAGTTAATGCTATTCATGAAAAAATTGTTAAGAGCATTATGAAATTGGTAAGAGTTCTGAGGGTAAATGGTTGACAGTGCAGGACTTTTTCTAGACCGATGAAGCTGGAACAGAACACTATTGTTTACTTAGGAAAACTCTCCATATGAGATTGTTCTATGGAGTTGTATAGCTGAGCATGAAATACAGTGCAAATAAATATATGAAAAGGAAGAATCTTAAAGGCAGAATATTCTGAAATAAAAGTTTTAAAATATGAATTAAAAAATACTTCCCTAGGATCATAATATAAGTTGAAACTTAGATTTTTTTTCTAGAGAATCTTTTTAAAAACATTTCAATAAAAGAAACATAAATGATTGATACTTTTTCAGAGGCCCAGCTAATTTGTTTTTAAAATTGCCATGATTGAATTTGATGCTTGAGGAAATAAGGGGAGATAAATATCCATGTCCATAATTGAGGGTTGCAGTTAATCATAGGTTCATATGTGAAGAATTTAAGAATTCGAGAATATTTTGGTTGTAACTGAGTTGTGTTTGTTTATACACCTTTGTGAAGACTCACAGTGAGGTATAAATGAAAGCAATCATTAGTTCATTTATATCAATAGTAGACCAGAAGTTTGTTTGTTTATTTGTTGAGTTTACTATCAGCCTTGGAAGCTCAAAAGTAAATTCTGTTAGTCAGTCTCCAAGCTATTACATCAAGTGACTTAAATTTCACCTAACTGAAAGTAGTACATAAACTTGCATTAGTAAGTTTTAGGGCCTACCTACTTTCCCTTTAAATTGGTTGTGTTCTGCAGTGCTTTATGTTTGAAATAAAATTTACATTTCAATATTGCTATAAATAAAATAGAATTAGTACTGTAGGTTCTAGAATTTTTGGCTGATCCCTTCATTGAAGTAAATTCAAAGTTTTCAAAATAAGATAAAAATATGTAAATCTGTCCTTTGTTTAGATTACGTGATTCAGTTGAATATGAAGTTTTAATACCTTAAGTTTCATAAAGTTCATTTTATGAAATATTTTAGTGTTCATTATTTGTGGGTTACCTGAGAAAAAGCTAAATATATGATGCTTAAGATTCCATTTAATGTTGAAGTGTTCACTCAGGAATAAACTGGCTGGCTGCCATTCTTTTCCAAGGAAGATGATGATGCTAGCCTGCCAGAAATAGTGAAAATGTGGTAAAATTACAGCACACCCTCTTAGGAGTAAGTTGCTGTTGGACTTGGGTTGGTGAGTCTGCCTATAGAATAGAAAACAGCAAATTATAATATTGACGCAGCCTTTGGTTGGAAGAATTGTGTCTTCATCATGTGTTAATTAATATTTAAAAACTGAGTCTTAGCTAAGAGTCAGGAAGGCAGTAGATTCATCAGTCTGGTGTTGCTCGTCAGTGCCCTGAAGCAACAATAAATCTATCTGTGAGCAAACAGAGCTGAGTTTTCACCTGTTCGATGGGTAGTTTTTGTGATGTTACAGTTTCTTTCTTTTCTCTTGGACTTCCCAATTTGTCACTGGTGTTTTCTGTCACATAACTCCTTGCACTTGTCCAAAAAAAAATGGCAGTAGAAAATTCTTAAGGTGAAAAATAGTTATGGTTTGACAGCCAATTGATATTGTGCAACTATAGTACATAAGTCTATAAACCTACGAGACATTTTAAGTTCCTTGGGAAATAGCTGCTATTTAAATACAGTCAGTAAAACATAGGAAAAATAAAATAAAAACATCACTTCATTTAACAATGAAACAAACCCACTTGTGTTAATAGTACTGTTACACATTTTAGATTCCAGATACCTACAAGTAATCCAATTTAAAATTTATTTTCATCAGTAATATGCTTTGTTACCATGATTTAAGTGCTTAGCAGAAAATATCTTTCATTTATCCTTTACAAATTGCATTTCAAGAAAAATACTTTAAAAATTCAAACACTTGATAAGTCTCTAATACATTTCTACTTGAAGTAGCAAGCATTTTAGGGTCGCCCAGCTATTGGATCCTGAATTGTAACTATCCTCTTTCTTTGAAACCATTCAAGTTGCAGCAGGTTTTGTAATTCCGTTTTGCTGCCATGAATGTGATTCAGTGGTAACCTACAGGGTGAATTTGTACAGCAGCTGATAGATTTTTTTTCCTACAAAATAAGGAAATTTTAAAGCACATTTGATAGAATTTTTTAAAGGACAAGCTACAGACTTATGGGAGTGGAGGGAAAGCTCGACTGAAATAAATGAACAAATCATAAATAGTAAATCCTTTATAAATAGCTTGACTGCTAACAAATGTGAATTATGTTCATCTCTTATATAATTAGAAATAATTTATACTTTTTTTCTTTTTAATTTAAGTCACTGTGGAAAGAAAGAAGATCCAAGTGCACCGTGATTGTTTCCTTAGGAATTGTTTCATTCTGTCCCTTTTGGCCTGATGTTGTAAGATGGGCTCAGCTTGCTGAGGATAGTCCAGGATTTGCAACTTTAGTATGTGAGTTTCCCATGTCATTTCTGCTTTTCATTTAAATTTTTCTCCAAAGCCTGCAGTAAAAGAGACACCATGAGTATGTGCAAGGTTAAAAACAATTTGGCACATGCATTCCTCCTGTTCCAAAATCCATTCAGTCATCCAGATTTCAGACCTGCACCATGAACTGAAGACAGACATTTATTGGATGAAATTCCAATTTTGCTGTTAGACTTGAGCAAGGATTCTAAACAGTAAAGGAGACGAAAGGGAGCAAGTGGTATTTCTGGATAATATATGAAAAGTACCTCGACAGTGTCTCTTAAAAATCTCTCAGCAGTACCGCAGTGCTGCACTAGAAATAATTAGTTTAAGAAAATATATTCTGCACTGTCCGAATGATACTGTCTCCTTTTAGATGAGGAAAAGCAACTCATTGAAGATATTTTGCAGAGCTATTTTTTCATTCTTATCTTCAGAGACTTTTGACTCAAGAAAGGTGCACTTTTTAAATTTTGTGCTTGACATTAGAACACTTTAGCAGCTCCTTTTCATGGGTTAAATAAATCTAGATTTTTAAAAAAGTTTGATATATCATTTATGTAATATAAACAGCATATGAGTTCATAGTATTTCAGTGTTGGAAGATCTCTCAGACATGTCAAGTCCATTTCCCATTCTACAAATGAAAACAGGGATAATTGTGACAGTGTGTTCTATTATGACAGCCAGGGCAAGACCTTAATGTTCCAGTATCCTTTTGTCAAATGATGGTATTACTAATTTCCTACCTTAAGATCTTTGAAATTCTCAATGTCCAATTAAAAAAAAAAAAAGACAATTAGTCTGATGGATTTATTTACTTTTGCTTCAAGTGAATGTTTCCATTTGCTTTAAATTTCACATCTAGTTTGTTTATTAAAAAATGATGATGTTTCAGACCCTTGTATATACTCAAATGATTTTGAAATCTTTTTTTTTTTTTTCATGGAAGTCTTATTATTCTAATGCTCCTTTAAGCGTATGACATGTTAGGAAATATTTTGGAAATTTCCCAGTAATATTTCATTTGTAAAGAAAAAAAAACCTCTGGAAGACCATGCTAACTTGTATTCGATCTTGAAGATGAGTTAGCTCAGCTGGTGAGAAAATTAAACAAATGAGACCAAGTTCATGGCCATGAAATTAGTTACCATGTGAGACAGTCAGCTTTGCATGCTCTGGTCTGCTATCCTGGCCCACACCCACTCCAGGTGCATGTTACATCCTCCAAGAGCTTAAACCAAACAGGGAAACTAATCAATGCAAATCCATTATCACCCTGGAAAACCAGTGGACTGACTGACCAAACACCACCAGCCCTGCTGCTAATGTGCCAATTCACTGTTTCCTGATGTGCAGGGCTGCACACAATAGGCCCAGCTCTTCCCACTGTAGTGTATGTGTGTGTATACAAATATATATACATGTACATATATATATATGCCAGAGATGGCACTAAGTCATTTATGTGAATTTTGAGAAATATGCAAAATTGATGAGGTTTACTTTTTATTATTTAAGATGAAAATGTGTTTTAAGATTAAGGAACATGATTGCTCCATCAAAAACTTAAAATGTTTGTAAAAACAGACATGCAGTTTATGTTTAAGTGACATTTTATGATAATAGGACTTATTTGTGGCTCCTAGTTTAACTTATTAATGTAAGGAAACATTTGTTTTCAAGGAAGTAAAAACTTGAAATATGACCAACTACAATCCTTTTGTGAGAAGTAAATATTTAATAAGACTTTTTAAATAACCTGAGGATGTTATCAAAATAGACTGTTTCCTAATAGAAGTTTACAAGCTTCCCTACATCCTGTCTTCCTCCACAGTCCTGTTTCTGCTGCTTTTTGTTTTCTCCTAAAGAGAACTAAGATACGTGACATTCAAGGGGACCACTTATACTCCGGAGATCTGAACTGCGACATTGGCTGTGTCAGTTCACCACAATATATAACGCTATGATACAGTTTCTCTTGATTTTACAATATAGTGTTACACTATATCTGAAGAATACTACTTTTCAATTAACTTGTTCTGTGATTATTCTTATAGATCATTCAAACACATGGCTGTAAGACATGCAATAGACACACCTTTAATAAACTCATGTTTTGTAGATACTTAAAAATAAACCTTGAACCCAAAGGAAAGACAGGCCCTAAAATTGAGAAAATGACCTTCTCTTTATGTCATATGCATCTTGCCTGTTCATTTACAATGCCGTCAACATTCTCCACCAACATTAAAAAGTA